GGGCAGGGGGCAGGGGGCAGGGAGCAGGGGGTGGGAGTGAGGCACCTATTCATGGAATGTCGTTGTAGCAACTGAGCCTAGAGCTTCAACCTGCTTGGGCCACTGAGTCTCATAAACCCTTGTGTGTCAGGATCCCGTGGGAACTAGGGATTCCATCCTCTGGTGTCTGGTTGGGAATGGGAGCTGGGCCTCTAGAAAACAACTGGGAAGCTCCTGATGCGGGAATACCAGAGGCTACACATTAAGACATGCTCCTTCATGTTTGATTGGCAGGTGACTCAGACAGAAAGAGAATCTGATCTGCTGAGAATGGCACATAACTCCTTTCTGCATTCCTCCCTAAGACTAGCCTTCCCACAGCTGGCTCAAAACAGGAATGACCAAGAAGGGAAAGATCAGTCCCATCCATACCCACTGAAGATATCAAGGCTGGTGGTGGCTGGAAAGGAGACCCTGGCAGGGAAGCCTGAGGCCCAGTCCCTTCTCTGGGGTGTGTGGGATGCTGGCCAGATGAGGCAGTACTGCTGCTCACTCACCACACTGACTGATGTTCATGCGGAAGAGGGGGAGTTGGGAGCCATCAGCACTGATGCAGTAAAGACTCTGGCTGTCCAGCCGGGCCTCCCCCTGCTCCTGCCACAGCTGCATCCAGCGGATGTCACAGCTGCAGTTGAAGAAGTTCTGCTCCAGTCTCCTGTGGGCAAGAAGAGAGGGGAAGGAATCCCTGAACGGTGGATGACCCAGCTCCCTCCCAGGACCGAGGCCAATGGGCCCCTACTGCTCCTCCATGAAATAAGCCAGACTCAGACAGACAATCACTATATTTCCTCTCATTCGTGGATCTTAGACTTCATATAGATGCACAAAACCATGAGAGGAGAAAGAGACAGACAGACATGAAAGTAGAAGGAAAGCTGGAGGAAGAAAGGGAGGGAAGGAGGGAGGGAGGAGAGTAAGAAACTAGCTGGAAGAACAAGGAGAAAGAGAAGGGCATCTAGGAGTGAATATTGTCAAACACACGTTACACTTGAAATAAATTATCTTAATGGGACCCATCACTATGTGCAATGAATATACTCCAATAAAAAATTTAAAAATAATAAAGGAAAGGGGCTGGGGAGATAGCTTAGCTGACAAAGTGCTTGACATTCAAACATGAGGATGGGAGTTTGGATCCCTAGCACCTATAAAAATGCTATAAATGACAAGTGGGCATGGTGGCCAACCTGTAATCCCAGCGCTCAGGAGGTAGAGACACCGGATTCCTAGAACAAACTCACTAGTCAGAATAGCCGGCATCGGTGAGCTGCAGATTCCACCAAGGAAAACAGGCAACAGCAGCCTCGGGACTCACATGCAGGTGCACTCATCCTCACATACGCTTATGCCCACATACATACACATATTCGTGTTCCCTCCCACACACAGATGCATGCAAATAAAATCAAAATAATAGTGAAGAGGAGGTTAAGTGAGGTCACAAAAGAAGTAATAGAAATAACAAATAATAAATAAATAGCATTAAGTCCATGCACTTGGTTTCAAAAGTGATAATTTCACTGAAAACACAAATTTTACCCTCACTTAAATCACCGGGCAAAGAGGCCCTTTCACATGTGTCAAGTTGAGATGCTCATCTTCATCTTCTTAAAACCTCCCAGTGGCTTTCCCATTTCGTTGGAATTAAAACCCCTATGAAACCTGGTTTCTCCATCACCTTCCTGATGTCATCTGCTCCTCATCATCAGCAAACCATACTCAACCTATGCTTCTCCATCATCCATGGATGTCAACTCCAACTTACCCATGCCCTTATCCAGCCGCACTATCTTCTGCCCAACCCCGTCCCTATCCAGCCACACCTCCTGCCCACATCCAGCCACACTGATCTTCATATGTGTATGCTCACTGGTGTGACTAGTTTGGACCTGATTCAGGGCTTCTACCTGCCTGCCAAGCTCTCTTCCAACATATCTGCAAGAAGGGTTCCCTCACTTCATTAAAAACTGTAGGACATTCTCTGACCACCATCTATATCAAAGCTGCTACAACCCTGTCCTTACACTATCCAGCCCCTCACCAGATGCATTTACCTGTCTAGGATTTATTACAATGCCATAACACCTTAAATATTCATATTAGTTTGTGTCTTTGTCTTCCCAGATACAAAGTTAAGCTCCACAGAGGCCAGAGACGTAACCTGTTTTGTGCATTGCTGCAATCACAGAACCTAAAACTGATCCCCAGATATATTTTCCCTGGGGGAATAGATAGTTAGCTATTTCCAAGACATATTCCAAGGCCATCTTGGGACCAGTTTTATTCCTTCATGAATTCAATGGTTCCTTAATGAGCACCTGTTCAGTCTCTGGCTGTGGTTGAATGCTGTTAATAGAGAGATGAATAAGGCAGTCCTTGTCCTCTGGGAGCATTCACCCCAGTGAAGAAGAATGGCTGATGAGGAAGAGTCAAGTCCAAAGCCCTTGTTCTCTGCAGATTCTCCTTGTGCCTTAGAACAAGTCGAATCCCTCCTCCACTGGGTAATTAGGAGAGTGACGAACAGTGCTAATCAATCCCCCAAACCCTCAAAGAGCACAGGGTGAATCTGAATGCCCAGGCCATTAGGGGAACATGATTCTCTCTCTGGTCTATTGAAGGGATTGATCCATTGGCACCCGGAGGAAAGGCACTTGGGTCATTGAATATTTTTTAAGCACTGGGTATTTTTGACAACTGGCAAATTCTAAAATAGTTAGGCATGCATCAGCATTTGTCAGCTTGCAGGAAAGGAGGGGCACAGAGAGAGGAACTCTGTTCCTGATGACTAGGACAGCACAGGTAGCATTACAAACAGCCACATGGCTTATCATTCTCTTGGTCTGTGAGCATCCATTATTTGTCGTTCTTCGGGATCTTTTGGGGAAAAGGCAAGGCAAGGGACCCAACATTTACTGGGTACCTGCTTCTCACAGAAATCTTGAGAAGTAGCCAATATTGTCCCCACAAAAACAAGAAAGTCTATTAATAATGTCTAAAGGGTTTCATAGTCAATCTTTTCTGTCAGCTTGATGACCAGATTTATAAACAATATGGAGACATACCTCTGGGCATATAAGGGCAGAGATGAACAGGGGATCCCTGCCCTGAATATGGGTGGATTGAGAGAACCTGAGAGAACTGAGTTAAAAGAACACAAGTTTAGCATCACTACTTGTCTCAGTTTCCTAACTGTGGACGCAGTGTGGCCAGCTGTCCTGTGCTCCTATCATCATAACTCTCCACCATGATGGAATGTACCCTCAAGCTACAACAAACTCACATAAACTCCTCCTTAAGTTGCTTTTGTCTGTTATTGGATCACAACAATGAGAAAAATAACTAAGACAAGGAGTTAGGATACATGTTCCATGCTCCATCACACAAAACTGTCTTTATACTTCCCACTGCCTCTTCCCTGGGCAAATGCTATAAAGCCTGGGGGCAGAGGAGGCACCCACAGTACTCCCTCGACTCCTGGGGCTCTCTCCAAGAAGACTAAGTGGTAGAGGAAAGTGGTCATGGAAAGCAAAGGGCAGCAAGGTACAGAGGTCATGTCCAGGAGCACAGGAAGTGGGCATGGAATTCAGTGGTAGAAGATTTTGCCAACACATTGGGGAGTTTGGAGTTTGTGCACAGAGAGGTGAGGAAAGCACTGGACCACCAGTTACCAGTTGATGTTTTATAAGCATGGGGCCACCATGTACAGTTGTGTGGTGTGTGCATTTCTCAAAGAACCCAATGCAATGCCAGAATTCAAACCAAGTGCCCTAGAATGGAGCTACACCACTCCTGAGAGGACATCTTCTCTAACTCAAGAATACAATACGGGCATCAGCTGGGCTGGCTAGTAGGACCTAGACCTATGTTGAACTTTTGTTCTCCAGACTCCAGTTCACACTTAAACTTTTCCTGGGCATCCCAAATAATGTTTGTGCATTTGGGCTTTATCTCTCATTATTTTTTTTTGGTCAAGGTAGTTTTTATTTTCTATTTAATGTCATTACAATGAAACTGAAAAATTTAACTATTATCATGAACTTTTCATTTATATTTAAAATTAATGATAGTTTTAAATGAAAATATTAGAACATTATTTACTATATTAGAAATTGAAATAGCCATTTTGACAGTTAGATAAAATCTCAAAGTTGTTTTAATTTTCATTTCCCAGATTACTAAGGATGAAAAACAACTTTTGAGATATTTCTTAGCCATTATTTTTCTTCTATTGAAAACTTTCTGTTCATATCCATAGTCCATTTTTAATTGGGTCATTTATCTTCTTGACTCTGTTTTTAAATTGTGTTCTTTGTTTACAGTAGATACTAATCCTCTGCCTGATACATAGCTGGCAAAGGTTATCTCCCAATCTATGAGTTTCTCCTTCACTTGATTGATTCTTTCCTTGTCTACACAGAAGGTTTTTGTTGTTGTTTTATGAGATCCTATTAATTGTTGGCATTAATTCCCAGACAAATTAATGGATTCCTACTTAGGTGGTCAAAAAAGTGTTCTACACCTAGATCCTGTAGAGTACTGCCTAATATTTTTCTAGCAGCTTTAAAATTTCAGGTTCCAAATCTCAGGTCTCTGTTGCTCTTGGAGATGATATTTCTGCAGGGTGGTAGATACGGGAATAAATTCATTCCTCTGCATGAGGACTGGATATTTTCCCAGTATCATTTGCTGAAAATTCTGTGTTTTCTCCAATGTATGTTTTTGGGCTCTTTGTTAAATATCATATAGTTTTGAGTATTCAAATTTGACTCATCTATTTTGTTCCATTAGTCTACATGTCTGCTTTAATTCTAGTACCATGTTGTTTTTATTACTATAACACTATAATATACCTTGTAATTTGCAATAGCAATCCCTTCAGTATTGTTCTCTTTGCTCAGATTTGCTTTGGCTATCCAGGATCTTTTCTGAGTCCATGTAAATTTTAGAATTTTTTCTCTTCTTGTGAAGACTGCTATGGGTATTTGACTTGGTATTACACAGAACTGTACATTGCTTTTGGTAGAATAGACATTTTCACAATAATAATTTTACTGAGCCATGATCACAGGGTGTTTTACCATTTTCTAGTGTCCTTCTCATCTCTTTGGAAATTAGAAGTTTTTGTTGAAGAGTTCTTTCACTAAAGTCCTTGGTAAGGTTAAGTTCAAGACATTTTGTTGTCTGAGAACATTGTAAATTTGAATGTGTTATGATCACTTTCTCATCCTGTTTGTTGTTGGTAAGGTGAAAGGCTACTGATTTTTATAAGTTGATTTTGTATGTTGTCACTGTGCTGAAATTATTTTTGCTTCTAAAAGTTTTCTGATGGAATTTTGGGGACCTCTTATATATAATATATCATCTGCAAATAGGGAATTTTTTCTTTTCCTGTTTGTGTCCCTTTAATTTCTTTCTCTTGTCTTATTATTCCAGCTAGTGTTTTGACTATTATACTGGGAGGGAGGGAGGATAGTGGGCAGCCTTCTTATTCTTGATTTAGATGGGATTGTTTCATGTTTTTCTTCATTTAAGATAATGCTAACTGTGTGTTTGTCATATATACCCTTTATTGTTTATACATACTAACTACATTCTAATCATTTAAGATAATGCTAACTGTGTGTTTGTCATATATACCCTTTATTGTATTGAGGC